TATCATTTCATATAATTCTGAACTATATATTTTTGGGTATTTGGATTTTTGGTCAAACAAAAGAAGACCACTGCTGACATTGACTCTGCAAAGCTGTGCTGTGTGTATGTATGTGTTTTTGACATTTCATAGACTAAATGGTTAAAAATAATTTGCACATTAATTGATCAATAAAATAATTGAAGCCCTACAGTTGACACAGGGAAACTATACTACACACACACACACACAAATACATATACATCTGCACTTGATAAATTTCATTATTTCACCTCAACACAACTTTCATGCATTTTTTAAAAATCATCATCCGTTTTGTACTATTCTAAATGTGAAAACTTAACAATTGATTAAATTTAAAAAAATCAACTGGTTAGATTTGCAAGTCAGTTATTTTCATTATCAATTCTTTTATAATTGTTTTCTTGATTAATTCAACTGTCATTTTGTCTGCAGAATATAATGAAAATGATCCATTACAGTTTCTCAACCTTGTTTTGATCAACTAATAGTCAAAGACCCAAAGATATTCGTTTTTATATCATGTATAATTAAGACAAACTTTGATTTACCACATGTGAGAAGCTGGAACATTTTTAGATGACTAAAATGATCATTTGATCATCTTTGCAACTCATTGAATTAATAATGAAAATTGAGTTGCAATTATTCATACATTTGTCAATCAACAGAAAAGTCGGCAATATTTTGATGATCAAAGAATAATTTTTGTCATGTTATTAAGCAGAAATGAAATGCCAAACATATATTGGTTCCAGCTTCTCAAACATGAAATGCAATGTCACACATCACAGTAAACTGAATATATTTGGGGCTCCGACTGTTGGTCAGACAAAACTACATCCGGAGATGTGAGACATTACAACAGGCATTTTTATTATTTTTTGGAAAATGACAGTAATGACAGTAAATTCTAATCTAAACCAAATAACGCTCTTTTAAACACAGTACGTGATAGAGTTTTTATTGTTGTTGACAGTAAAACTCAAAATGAATCTTGACATCCTCAGTATCAGCTGATGCTAATTTATGGACCTGATGATGGATAAGCCTCAATGTGAAATGTAAGTGGGAGCTGGTGGTGTGGAATGTGCCATGTCCTGGTCACAGTGTTCCCATCTCTGTACCGGTCACTCAGCAAGAGAGTTCCTGTGGGCAGAGTGAGAGAGCATCGCACTCTGCCCACTCATTTGTCCTCTAAAAACTGGAGTCATCTTCATATAAAAAAAGGAAAAAAGTCAATGAGGCTCTAGCTGGCTGAAGGTAGTTTTATTTGTAGATTATGTAATATAAAAAGTAGCAACCAAGTGAGCCAGATGTGAAGATGGAAACACTTCAGTGCTTGTTCTCCTGAGACGGAAGTTGCAGAACACCTAAATGTTGGAAAACAGCAAAGTGAAAATAGCAAATGTAACAGGAAAATTAAGTTTAGAATCCATGCAATAACTAGTCATTCGCTAAATAAAATCTAATGTCAGGATTATTATTATAAAATGTCAAATTTTGAGCAATGCTTCTAACAGGCAGTGTTTGCTTTCCACATTGGAAAATCTCAAGGAAGTAACAGTGCATCTTCTGTGCTTATAGTTGTTTCTCTTTGGAGAGAAAGTCTCGTAAGGATAAGGCTGAACCCTGGTGTATTATTCATTAGACAGGTCTGTCTGATGTGGCTGTCTATAAACTAAAGGTCCTGTTCAGGGTGTTTTCACACCTAACCTGTTTGGCTCGGTCAAGACAAATTCTGGTGTGGTTCTTGTGTGGTCTAAGAGCAAACAGATGAACCGCAATATATTGTTTATTATCTACAATTATCTTGTAGTGAATGTCACTAAATGCACCATAATGATATGCCTTGCATTTTCATTAGTACTGGATGTTAAACAGTGTTTTTTAATCTATCAATGCAGATACAGTAGTGGTAGAACTGGTGCTAAGGTAGAGTAGGCTACGTTAGCAGCATGGCTAACCAAAACACAACAGAAACTCACGGGCTGGAAATGTGAAGCTACTCCAACTCGTCACAGTGTGGGTGTATCGTACACACCTATAACACTCAACCTGCAACCTCTCACCCCCTGACCAACGCAGCCCTCTGCGTTCAAACACAGCAGGGAGTTGCATTTTTGCCAGACTATGTGAATGTACCGTCACTTTGCCATCACACTTTGTCATACTGACTGCTGCTCTGGTTCTGTTATGTACTGATATTGGGAGACAGCTTTTGCCTCACTGAAAAATATTGCCACATTTAATCTCGTGCCACAAGATCTTGTCATACCCCTATTTCCGAGCATTGTTCATTTCTTTCAAATAGAAGCAATGAAGCAACGTTCATTCATCTTAAAATTGGTGCCTGTTACAGTGAATAGAGTTTCTAAGGTCACCAAAGGGATTGTGGTTGGAAGCTCGGTCACAGTGTGAGAAAACAAATATGTTACTAATGAGGAATGTTGGGATTTCAGAGTGATCTTTAAAAACATGGTTAAAGAATATGTGTTAATGACCTCTTTGCTTTTTGACTGATTTTCTAGTAGCAGTGAACAGTGGTCCATGGTGTATAACTTTACTTATTTTGGCTTCCTGAGGAGGGCAACAAAAAACCTAGAACAACAAAGTAGAGAGACTTAGCAGCTCAGCAACAGGTCTGTGCTGATCCCCTAATGGATCTGTAAATCCTTTACAGCATGCGGATGGAAAACAGCTTGCAGACTGTAGCTATCAACACTATCCTACCGGCTTTAATCTGTCATGGCTTAACCATTTTTTTATTTTATTTTTACAGCTTATAAGATTTTTTCAAGTTCTACATTATGCCATAGTGAGGTACTTTAGGATAGCTACAGTATCTTTAGTATAAGCAGCAAATATTGACAGTTTCCATGATGACTTTTTTGTCACTCTCTCTGTAGAGGGGATACCAGTCATTCACTTATTACAGCCAAAACATATTTGAGGTAAATCATGAAAATCTTAGGTAATAATAAATTTGTCCCAGTTTTCATCAATTCTCATTTAAGACTATTGCTGTCAGAGATGTGAATGTCATCTGCATCTCCAAGTACAATTTTAAGCTATCCCTTTTTAATTTAATGACTTCATAACCATTATTTGATGGTTTCTACTGCTCCAGTGGCCACCCACGCCCTGCCACAAAGATGTTTCTTTTGTGAGCTTATTTCTAAACTGATGTCATTGCACTGACTGACCTTCTTAGACTTCAAAGTTCAAAATCACGCACTTTAAACTGACAGATATAACAATCAATTTTTTCTTTTGCTGTCTCTCACAGCAGCTGAAACGTATCTGTGATTTATTTAAAATCAATTTATGTAAATGATGGACATGATAGTATAACAATAAGATTTTACAACATGATCCTTGGTCTTCTGTTTCAGTAAATTGTTTGAATATTAGATACTCTGCCAATGTCATTTTCTCTCCACCAGAGAGCACACTTCACTCAGGAGGCAAACATTTCCTTTACTTTCCCTCAGCATTTGAAGTGACCACACCACCATTTTTCATCACAACAGTTCTTTAATGGTAATTATTTAATCAAAAAGTTTTGGTTTGGACTGTTGGTTGGACAATAAAAAACTAAGACAATTTTGCTTTGGTCTTTAGGAAACTATGATGGATATTTTGACCTTTTTTCATCAGCTAGTGGTTAAATGTCTCTGTCTGCTGTTAGAGCAGAGTTTCCTCCCGTGGTTGAAAATGGAACAATGAGAAACAGTGGGACAAAAACAACTCAAGCTTGTTACATAGTAAAACTCTGTAAAATCCAAGAGAACTGCAGATTAATCACTATGAGAGACACCTTTCACATTCTCATTTAATACATTGTTGTTTTAAAAATATGAATATAGCCATTTTAAGCCTACTTGTTAATGAACAATTGCTGACACCATAATAGGCTCTCAAAGAAACACATTCACTAACACACATGCTGTAATTAATTTAAGGTGTGTCCAAGTTTATACAGTTTCATTATTCAAACATACAACCAATTCATGTACAAATCTTAGATTATCCACATTATCTGAGGGCTGATGACTGAGTGAGAATGACCCTCTGTGACATTAAATCCATTACAGGTCTGTGAGAATTACACATCCAACTCTCTTTAATACAACACCTATTAGGAAAGTGCTGAGTTCTTCACAGCTAAGATGGTCGACCACTCAGCATCACCAGTGCCTCTGCTCTACTTTCACTGTACTGTAGCCCAGAGCACTGACCACTTAGCACACAATAATACTGTATAAGAAATTTTAAGAAATTTCAGGATGTTCTTGTACATATTGTACTAATACACCTAGAACAACTCAAAGCTAATAATAAAATTTACACTTCAAGTTGACATTCAATGTTAGATTAAAGGTTTGACATTAAAAGTCATAAAATGAATTTCCATTAATTCAGCCCCTTGCCTGCTTTGCTTTAGTCAGGACTGGGGGGTGTGCAGGGTATCCACACAGACACCTTGAACAGGTGACTAGTCCATTACACAGATTGACACAAAGAGAGCGGATTAGTGGTTAAAATCCTCTCAAATGTTTACATTTTTAAGAGGTTGGATGGAAGTACCTGGGGGAAATGTATATAGATATAAGGAGACATCTCAACTTGCACAAAACCTTGTATGCATCTGTATTCAGTCTGCACAAAAAGCAACTTGTTGTTATTTTGCTTTAAAATCAGGAGTTATAGAGGATTCCCATGATAGGACCGAGCAGGTGTAGCCTTAATATCTTGATGAGTGGTCATTTATGTTTGCAGTGGTGGTTGGATTAGATATTAACTGTGGCCTAAATCACTTTGTGCTGACGAATGTGGAAAGTGATAATCCAAGGTGTGGCTTTTAAAAGCCAGACTGTGGTCAATTGGATCCATCTGTAGCAAGGTCCCTCTCTATCAGTCTCCTGAACAGCTAGAAGAAACACCACCTAAGCAAGAGCTGATCGCAAGCTGCAACCATGAACGGTACCGAGGGACCATATTTTTATGTCCCTATGGTAAACACCACCGGCATTGTCCGGAGTCCTTATGAATACCCTCAGTACTACCTTGTCAGCCCAGCAGCTTATGCTGCTCTGGGTGCCTACATGTTCCTGCTCATTCTTCTTGGCTTCCCCATCAACTTTCTCACTCTCTTTGTCACCATTCAACACAAGAAGCTGCGAACCCCCCTAAACTATGTCCTGCTGATCCTTGCAGTGGCTAACCTCTTCATGGTGTTTGGAGGATTCACCACAACGATGTACACCTCTATGCATGGCTACTTCGTCCTAGGACGTCTTGGCTGCAATCTGGAAGGATTCTTTGCTACCCTTGGTGGTGAGATGGGCCTTTGGTCACTGGTTGTTCTGGCTGTTGAAAGATGGTTGGTTGTCTGCAAGCCCATCAGCAACTTTCGCTTCGGAGAGAATCACGCAATCATGGGTTTGGTCTTCACCTGGATAATGGCTTGCTCTTGTTGTGTACCCCCCCTTGTTGGCTGGTCTCGCTATATCCCTGAGGGCATGCAGTGCTCATGTGGAGTTGACTACTACACACGTGCAGAAGGTTTCAACAACGAATCCTTTGTTGTCTACATGTTCATCTGCCACTTCTTAATTCCAATGTTTATTGTATTCTTCTGCTACGGCCGCCTGCTCTGTGCTGTCAAGGAGGCTGCTGCTGCTCAGCAGGAGTCTGAGACCACCCAGAGGGCTGAGAGGGAAGTCACTCGCATGGTTGTAATCATGGTTATTTTCTTCCTGATATGTTGGGTGCCCTATGCTAGTGTGGCCTGGCATATCTTCACACATCAGGGCTCTGAGTTTGGACCACTCTTGATGACCCTCCCAGCCTTTTTTGCCAAGAGTTCTGCCATCTACAACCCTCTGATCTACATCTGCATGAACAAGCAGTTCCGCCACTGCATGATCACCACCTTGTGCTGCGGGAAGAATCCCTTTGAGGAGGAGGAGGGAGCATCCACTACCAAGACCGAGGCATCCTCTGTCTCCTCCAGCTCTGTGTCTCCTGCATAAAAGGGCTGTTAACAAAGGCTCCATGATCCACTCTCAAAGAAGAAGACTTCTGCTCCCCCAGGGAAATGACTGAAGGCTAATGTCTACCGAAATAACTTCCTTTTTGTATTTTTACAGATGAGTTGGTTCAACCTAAAGACGGTTAAGGGAAAGGTCAGACCATTAAAGAGGTGTTCATGTATGTACAGAATATCCAACTTAAAAACCTATAAGACTTTTTTTCCTGTGAAAAAAGGGGAAAAATGTTTATCTTTTACAGTTGGATCCTATATGATACTGGCTTATTTTTGATTGTAGATGCAGGTAATCAAGGCAATGTAAAATAAAATGCATTTCGCAAATGACTCAACTTGTTTGTTTTATTTGCAGTTTGGGTGGAAAAGTTCAGTAGTACAGTAGTACATTTAATCCAGTGAATAAATGTGAATGATCTATTCCCAGTGCATTTAAGTCTCGAGTCAGTTCCTGTTTTAGAGCTGTTATTGTATGAACGGTGCAATAACTTTAGTATAGTGTTTGGATTTCTTTTCATAGTAGTGTCTGCATTGCTTTTGTAATCTCTCTTCAATCACAGGTCACCTTGGATTTAGAACATGGCCATTAGGGATTGACATTATTAATCAGGGATGAATATATGCATGACACTACACTCAACTTTATCTGATGATGAATATTAATCTCATTAATTAAAGGTTAACAAAGACTTATTAGACAGCACAAATCGGTATTACCAAGAGGCACCTTGATGCAAAGGTTATGGAATGGAAACTAGAAACTGGAAATTAGGCCTAGTCCTCAGCTGTGTTCATTGCTTCTATCACAAACAAACCTTATACTGTAGGCCAGTGTCAAAGAAGGAATCAGTAAAACTTTACTTCATGTCCCCCTAGTTGGCATTTTTAAGCAGTATATAACATTTAATAAATGGTTTATAACACTATAATGTAGTTGTACACAGCTAGAAGTGTTGATTAAAATATTTGTTAACAGCTGTAACTCCTGATGTGGGCATCAATAGGTGGAGGTTGCTGTACAACCTAGCAATGAATGACAGTGTAGTAAAACAGTTCAGATAAAATACTTCTTCATAGAAAGGCTATAATAAAAGTGTGTGTGTGTGTGTGTGTGTGTGTATATATATACATACAGTATGTGTATATACACTCACACATAATATATAATGGTGGATTATTGAAATGTTTGGTTAGGACAGCATTCAAAGTGTTTGCTAGTTATTGTTTAACAGCCTGAATTATTAAGTGAGGAGATGTTAATGAAGGGTTGTGTTGGGTGTGTGGGTGCAGGCAAAGAGGGGGTGGTCCTGAGACACTGGAATGCACTATCGTGCCTTCTCGGTGTCATGGGCCCAATTCAACAAAACATCAGTTAGTGTGAGTGTGCCCACCTGATGACCCTGTAGACCTACCTTACACCCACACAGAATTTATATTGGCATTGCTTATAATATATTTTTTGATTCAGAGGGGTAGTTACTGGTTTCTGTAGATTGGCAGTTTTGGTAGAACAGTAACAGTAGTTGGACAATTGAGCAGAGCTGGCTCTCAGATGTGATTGCCCTCCAAGCCAGTTGCTCCAGCCACCGTATAAACTGAGCAAATACAGTGCAGATATTATGTCTGCTCTTTGCTTTGTCAGAGTGAGGCACTTTCTGATATGTACACGGTATGATAGGTCAAGATTAGACAATAGTGTACAAAATCAAAATACAGTATGTGCATTTTAGGTTAGATAAAAATTGTGTTGCTCATTGCGGAATCCTGAGGATTGATGACAGCATGGCCTGGTATCCTCTCTTTGGGGCCAAATATTGTGTAAATATTGTTTAAGATGATTACTGAGCTTCCATGGCAATGCTTATCCAGTCTTTGGTACATTTAATTGTGTATTATCAGCAAATAGTGTTATCAGTTGATTTATACATTTTAAAATGCTAAATATGGGGACATAACTGTTACTGAAAAACCAGTTACTGGAAGAATCATGGGAAGATTATATAATTGCACAACATTTTCAGATGAATTTCAATAACTTTTTTCTCTTCTTAGCTGTCAGAATATAGGCACAAGCTTTAGATTGTTTTCTTCTACAGTGCACTAACTTAATATGACTCCATAGTAACTGCTGCAGTACTAAGAGAAGAAATATATGATGATGATGATGATGATGCAGCTTTTAATGCTTATTGACCAACTTAAGCTCTATTCCATTTTATATCACTGTTTAGTTAGAAAGCTAAGTTCTTGAAGGCTGATGTTTTTGTTTTTTAATCTGGGAAAAAACAGCAGAAATTCAAGTGAGGATGTGATTCTTCCTCCTCAGTTCTTGGTTGCATAGTATATCTGACTGAAGAAAAACAAACACTTTAAGATCTCTCCAATAATGACCTTTATGTGTAGCTATAGCAACCATCATATTCATGGATCCTTTGTACACTACAGATATGCTAACAGAGCAATCTGACCTCAAGCTCCAGCTGAGAGCTTAAAGGAAAAACAATCAATCACTCCCTAAAAGAAAAGCTTCTTTTGCTGTGGTTGCACAGTCATACACTGAACTTCCTAATGTAGCTATATGAAGAATAAATGATAGATGGCATTTTTGGAGACAAGATATCATTTAGATATTAATAAATGAATTCCAGTGAAAAGAAGTACTTGTACTACAGTACCTCATTATGTCAGGTACTGTAGTAGGTAATAGGATGAAATGCCCTTATAAGCTGACAAGGAAAGAAGTACAGGTGACAGTCCAGACTGCTCTTTCTTAACAGCTACATTTCCATGTTACTTTGGTGGATTTTGTAAGCGTGCGAAACAGTGTACAGACACTGTTAAATGTAGTAAGTGTCTAAATCTACATATTAAAATGCAGAGTGACCAGAGTGATTTGATCAAAAAGTGAACAAACTCAAAAGTCTCTCCTGAGACACTACTGAGGAACAGCTTTGTAGAAATATGAAATCGTTTTGAATTTGTATGGAAAACTTTATTCGATCATAAAAATAGCATTCACAGACTTCTTTTGATAGCTACATATACATTGTAATCCATCTCAAGGAAAGAAGCTGGATAATTTCACATCTACTTGTACTTAGACCGTGTAATGTATAGCTTCATGGGTCAAATAAAGCTATGAACAATGTAATATTTATATATGCATAGTTTTATAAAAAAGATTGGCCCATATACATGTACTGCTTTTATCAACACAGAGACAGCATTATGTCCAGAGCACGTTGCAAGAAATAATGCTTGAAGAACACAGACTGCATACAAGTGCTTTATAATACAAAGGCAGGCTAACCATCGAGAGAGATTCAAACCATCAAACAGTTTCTGATTGACCAAATACAGTCTTTCACTGTAAAGCGTCTTTACATACCTGATCCGGAGTGAATCAACACATTTCCCATAAATCATCAGGTCCATTTCAGAGAAATAAACACAATATCACATTCCTCACTGCTGAGTTTTTCATATATTTCTCTTTTGTACAAGAAAAAGGCAACATTTTATTCCTTTATGGGTTCCTAATAGTTACATTGGAAAAATTCTTTACAGGTGATGGCCAACAGGTTCACTTCTTAATTTTTTTTTAGTCTTTTTTGTTTAATACAGTACCATGGTGACAACAGTGATCAAACAATTCATTTGTTGTGATTTATCCAGATATATTTTTAGTTCTTTAATGAAACATAAAACAGAGAATACACACAAAACACATTATAAAGCAGCCGTTAGACTCCAGTGGCACGACAGTGTGGCTCAGCATGGCAGATTGGTTGTCTCCTGTATTTTACCAACACAACAAACCTCATCAGATCTTTGTGTGGTCATCGACATGAGGACAGGGCTAACAATTACTGTGGGATTATAGTGTGTGTTTTAATCCATTATTCTCACTCAGACCTATTAGATAAAGTGGTTACCTACACTTTAATTTACACATGCATCTATTACAGGGTTTGTTTATAATTTTTCTTTATCTTTTTTTAGCATATTTGTTAAAAAGCATTTTTATGCTAGCTTCAGGCTGATTCTGGCATAGACTCATAATCCAAATTTAGCTGAGTAATAAATTTAAATAACTCTCATTTTCCTGCAACAGAGAATCTACCAGAACAGTTTTGCTGTAGTTGAAAGTGAGTCACGTTCCTTTGTAGTTACATCAGTACTTAGTGAGGGACCAGAGTGTGGGCCAGAGCATTCAAGGTATTTTTATAATCCTACTCCAAGGGATAAACTAATAACACTATTGCCAATTTTCACATCAGTAATTTTGAAAGTGTGTCAAACGAGGGGGAGCTGCCACACATTTCAAGGATGCAATTCAAGTACAGGTACAACATGCTTTCCCAGGTACAGTGTGCACTTCTATCTTGGTCCATAAAGGATTAATGAAGCTTGCTCAAGATATGTGCCAAATTAAAAATAAATAGCGAGCAAACGCAATAAACTCATATATTATTTATATCATTATCACTCAGGTTTTACCATCAGAGATTAAATTTAGATTTTTGTTTTACAGTAACTCCAATGTGATTCTTACAGTTCTTGTGAACTGTCTGTGTCTTGTGCTATAGTTTATTCAGTAAAGCGATTGAGAATGGAAAAGACATCTAAAAACAAGTTGAAAACAAGCTTAGTAGTTAGAAGGTACCACAACTGGAAGCATGTTTTCATACCTCTGAAGGAACAAATATTTAGATTCAGCAATGCCTACAAAAAGCAATATCACTGATTTCATATGCAGGCACATACAATAACTTTACTATAGTACAACAACCTCTGTTAGGTTCAAAATAACTATAACAATGACAAAACAACCAGTATGATCTGAGAGAAGGATTGTACTCCTGATGTTTTATGAATCTCTGGATGGGATCACAAGTAGTTTAGTCAATCAAATTATCAATAACCAGTCAACCAAACAAAGTACAAGAGTTAGTATCCTCAGAAGACCAATTCCAGTGTATGGTACATAGTCTGCACAGATAGAGGAAAGAGTAGTGAGGGGGATCTCTGCTCTGTTCTAGATGCTGAGGTCTTTGGGGCTTTCTTTGTACAGCCTTCTCTTGGGTTCAGGGAGCTGGTTTGGACTGCGGCCTGCTGCGTTGTTGTTATGGCCGGTGTTGTTGTAGGCAGCATTGTTCTTCATCATGCTGTAGTAGTCCTTCAGTCTGGGTACTGCTGCATAGTTCAACTCATCCCGGCTGTAGTTGCTGTCAGGAGAAGAGTCCCGCTCGACTTGAAATCGTCTCTCGGGTGTACCGTTCATCCGATATCGCTCCTCCCTCCTCTCTGAGGAAGAGTCTCTCAGGAGGTTGCCGTTCTTCATGGCTCTATCATAAGTACGGCCCCTGGAAAGAGATGAGGAATTCCCGTTGTTGTTGTTAATGCGCTCGGAGGTTGTGGTCTCTCTGACTCGCCCAGTCATCTGTGAGTCCTTGAGAAGCTTTCGCTCATAGAACTTTCCTTCAGGACTGACTACAAGGAACCCTCCATCGTCATACTCCCTCTCAGGTGTACAATCCTGATGTGCTCGCTCTGCCCTGCGATCCATCGATTTGGCTCGCCGACGATCAGGAGATGAGGCACACTTTCTGGTTGGTGAACTGTCAAGGGACCCACGACGCTGCAGACGAAACCTCCCATCCAAGGTAGAATTACTGTTTGAGAGCTCTCGACCCCTCAGTTTCTCAACAGCTGCAGCCTTTTTCCCCGAGCTCTCTTTCCTCAGAGTCTTTAGGAGTTTAGAGATGCCGCTCTCTGACTCAGACTTCTTGAATTTGCGGCCTCTGCTCTTCTTGTTGCCACTGCTACTGCTGTTACTATTGTCTGGAGACTGCTGTCTCGGAGTCCTTTGACTGTGATTGTTATTCCAGGTGTGATGATGGTGGGGGTTAAATTGCCAGCCTTGGCAGTCCATCTGATCTGACCCAGCCCTGTCCCTGGTTCTGTCCTTGTCTCGGCTATGCACAGCCTCCTCCTGGCATGATGGTTTGTGAAGGTCTGGTGGATAACTGGACTCCAATGAGGTGTGATATCGGCTGTTGGGTGGCAGCATTCTCACTTCCGGAGTGTTTTGTGCCCTGGGTGTGGGAGGGTGCCCGTCACTGCTGCCGCCTGCAGGAGAGGAGAAAGAAGGAAAAGTTTGTTGACTAGAAATACCTAATAGAAGGAATGGGGTTGAGGGATATTTCAACATTAGCAATGTGACATCTATTGTGTTCAGCAGACATGACTTTTCCTTTTGGTTCTTTTGAGCTCTTGCATTGACAGAAGGTCTATGCAGAGATTTATGGAACCCATGCATACATGTGCTCTTACATTTGCTATATACTGTATACAGTATCCACAGAAACAGTAAGGCTAATCTAAATTGACATATAACATTCTGATTTGCATCTGTATACACAAACTGCATTGAAGTGACTAGACACTTCAACAGGCTTTTTTTATAGGACTGTGGGTGGAAACACAAGGTGATGTCAGCAACAACAGCAGGTGCCACACATCGGCAAGTGTAGGGGTTATCAATGACACAGCAGGCACCTAGGAAATCATTCAAAGCAAAATGGTGAACAACTCAATGTGCATCATTGGAAAGAACAAACCAAAGGCAAACAACAAAAATAAAAAAAAAAGAGTATGTTTGGCTGCAGGTCTGCCAAATCAGAGACGGGTTGCTATAGCAGCAGTATGTGATGAGCAGTGGCATTAAATTAGTTGCAGTATAAATATCTGGTCTGATGCTGGTGGATGTACATGTACAGTTTTAGTCATAGAAGTTAATTTAAAAAGTTTAAGTTTAATTGAGGCATGGCAACACGTAAAGCATGTACATAACCACATACACGCAAACACAAACAGTGAAATGTGAGATGCAGGTAGGGATAAGCTGGAAGGAAGGGTGGGTAAAACTGGAAGGGAAAAGATGACTGGGAGAGTGGACTGGGACAGACTTTTGGCTACAAACCGTGGTCTGATTTTGGCCCATTAGGTAGAAACAGGGCTCTTCCATCTTGTCATTCCTCATTGTACCAACAGCGAGATGAGGAGCCATCATCGCTGGAGAGAGGAGGGAAGAGCCCAGCAACAAGAGATAATCAGAGAGAAAGAAGAAGGGATAGAGAGGAGAAGACAAATAAAACAGACGAGAGGCTGTTTTACAGTGTGTCTTAATAGAGAAAAGAAGGGGATTGTTGTGAATGGCAAGAAAATATTACACTTTACACAGTTCCAAAAGAATCACCTGAGAGATGAAGAAGTGTCAGAAAATTAAACCCCACATAGGCTATGCATATTGGATGGTAAGGATATTTATAATAATTGTGAAAAGTACAGATTCTTTGGCATTATGTTGTATAACAGAGGTGATGCCACCAAATCTGGCACTGGTGCCACCATCTGTGAGACTTGATGGCACCAGTGCCACCATTTTGAAATGTTAGTCTGGAGCCCTGCCATTAGCAAAACATACAGCTCCAGGGAGGGAACTTTATTTCAGCTGTACAACATACTGTACTGTGCTGTCACTCAACAAACTTTTGTAGCAACCATTCCTTCACAGATTAGTAATATCTAGTAGCTCAATCTTCTCCTCAAACTATGACAGGCCACTTTAAAGTAATAGATCTTCCAGTTAAAAATTTAGCATTTACAGTAGTAACATTTATGAAAATCAATTTTTATTTAAAAAAGCTTGTGGCATGCTAAGCAGATAAGAAGCATTATTCTAGTCTGCAGTGTGTACAGCTGGAAAAAAGAATAATAAGATTTGCTAGCATTTGCAGTGTTATTTACAGGAAGTGGAGAAACACATTACATTATGTTTACCTACCATATTCAGGTACAGATCCATCTCCCCTTTTGAGGACCAGCCGTGCCCTCCGACCACCATTCTTAATCAGTTCAATGGCACGTGAATGCTTCATGTTCTTTGTGCTCTCACCATTAATCTCTAGAATCTCATCTCCCACCTAAAACAGAGAGAGACCCTGCTATTGTCAGAGTTAGGTGATAATAATTTTTCATCAGGCGTTTAACGAGGATGCATATACACCTTCAGTCAGCCAAGATCCACAGCTAAAAGAAAAAGAGGCTTCCTGTAGTCACAAATTCAGCTTCTAATAGTTTCATACCCTCATTTTGCCATTTCTGACAGCAGCCCCATCCTCCGCTAGTCTCAGTACATACAGGTCCATGTTGTACTCCCGTCCTCCTCTCAGGCTGAAGCCAAAACCTTTACTGTCCCGCTCCAGGTCAACAGAGTAGAACTCAGCATCCTGAGATAAAAAGGAGAGATAAAGAGAGGAGGGGTGACTAATCCATGGTGCACAAGGGAGCCAAAAGGTGAATCCAAACTTCAGGACTAATCAAGCCATGTCCCACAAAAACTCACAAAATGTCAACTGCAGTACAGTACCCTGGAATGCATGAATAATTAATGTCGCCTGACGCTGTGAGCAGGGTGCAGATCACTAAGCAAGGGCAGCACAAGGGCTGGACCCAAAACTTACCGTAGTAATCAAAAGTACTGGTACTTACAGGTCCACAGATACATTCATTCAATTAACGTACTTACTCATTTGAATGTCAGATTTTATAGATACAGCAGAACTTTTACTTCAAGATAACAAGGGTCAGTTCAAAAGAGGAGTATGGAAAACCTTCCTAATACTATGCACTTAAAGCAGTTGTGAAAGGAACAATGATTTTTTTTTTTAAGATTCGGTAAAATAGGTGTGCAGAGTTTTCCCTAAGTTTTCAGAGGGCTTATTGTGTGGTCTGTTGAGGGAGTTGTAGCGTCTGCGGAGTCCAATTAATTTAAGGAAAATGTAGGTTATTTTAGTTTCTTCTCTCTCGCTCTTTAACCATTACCCAATATTTGTGGACAAAATCTGGCAACACTTACTGTACATAGAGTCAAAAATGTACTCTTCTTTTTTTGTGCATAGAATTCTTCGTTGTTTTTAGTATACATTCATTCTGATATGTTGCCTAAAGGCCTTTTTATGTTTTTGTGTAGGTGCTGTGCCTAAGCATTTCTATGGCAGGGAAACCCTGATATGGTAAATTGAGCGTGAGACCTCTGTAACTTAATCCAACAATCTGACATTAACACAGTTCTTATGCTGTGATCACTGGCCATAATTGAACTTCTCTCTCTAGCTCACTTTTTGCATTCTTAAATAATTTCTGTCACTATTCACGTGAACAGTTGAGTGCAACACAATAATGAATGCCTCTTAGTAGAATGTGTACAAAATGTGTGCAATTATTTGGTAACTCATAGCTTTTATATAGACTTATGTAGAGACTGACAGATCAGAGGCTTTCCTCCCTTTATTGCTATTATCTGTGGTACATGCCTGATAGTTGGTAACTGCTGTAGTAAAGGAAACCCCAGACAGCCATTAACTGTGGGGTAACAGTATCTATGCTTACCTGGGTTGTTTGTGTGGGTGGGGGAGGAGGAGCTCCTTTTAACTTCGAGTTATTCCTTTTAAAAAAGAGACACTCGTATAAATACACATAGTGCTGCATTAAAGAATACATTTTAGAAAGAGGCTGATTTATTCATATTTTAAAAAAAGGATGCATTACCACCTACCGCAACTCTGTGGACTGAGGTGTGTGTGTGGTGGTGATGGTAGCTATCTTCTCAGCATTGGTCAGTAGAGAAGCGTTGGAAGATTCTGGAAAGAAACAATAAAATAAAATAAAAGAAACTAACAAAGCAACTAAACTAAAACAAAGTGACTGCTTTTGTTAAATGCATCTGCCTGTAACCATGTTTTTAACAGACAATCTGCAGAACAAAATGTTACTGTCCAGAAAAATCCCCTGAACCACCCATAGGCTGCTCAACCTGATGCTAACTGCCTGTGATGTTGTCATTTGCCATTTGCTCATGTACCACACTGCCCCCCTACACTACATTGAAAGAAAACTAGCAGTAAAAAGAACAGTAAAACTCATGACTTACATCGTTTCAGGGTAAAAAAAAAAAACAAGGTCATCTGTATTTTCTTGCCTTCGTCTTAATTCCATCTCATCACCAGCAAGAACAGGGCAACATTAGTTTCCAGTGGCACAGAGCTGGATATGTTTAGCAAGAAGATCAGCTTGACTCAGGCTCATTTACTCACTCTCCTTTCATTACTTAAAGAAATATGACTTTCTGAGGTGAACGGTTTGCTGTAGCCACACATATGTCATGGTATTTGAAATGAGAATATGGTGGACCAATAAATGCCATCATTCATTTATTACAAGGCCATACCAGGTTTTCTACTAGGATGCCTTGCATCGTACTTACACACACGCACGCCTGTGACTTGTGAACATGTGTATGTGGGAGTTTGTTCCCACCTCTTTCACCTCTAGTCTTAATTAAACTCCATTTTCTGTCTCTATGGAGGGTAATGCAGCATAGCTCTGCTCGATGTTCTCATTGGATGACAAGTGGCTCAGCCAGTAAAAGGTACCCGTTACCGCATTTGACATGCCAGATACTATGGAAGATTTAAAGGTGACAAATTATACTCACTTTCAGGTTAATAATACTATGTAACATTTCTGCTATAAAGTGTTTAAATGCTTGTTTACACATGTTCATAAAGCTCATTTGAAAACCTGGATTTCTGCTGGTGTAGGCTAGTGAGGAAATCACAATGGTGAACCGGTAGCACCAAAATGGATCTGAGTGAGAGGAGAATCTATAAAACGAGCTGCTGCATCATTTTGTATGACATCATAAACAAATCAGAACAATGTGTTAGAGCAGGGATTTTTACAAATGCGTAAAAAAGCAAAACTTTTCTCATGTTTTGTGTATCTCTACATACACCAGAGGCCCATGTGAATGTCAGAAAATGCTCTAAAAGTGAATTTTGCATAATATGTGACAGTAAATTGTAATGCACATTGTAATATGCATTTTCTTTTTGTGTATGCTGCCATCAGCTCCACTCTGCCTCTGAGAAGTCCTGTGGATCGTCGACTATATTTCATTTTGTCATGGACAATGTGTGTCCTTTTCAAAAACGACCTCCTCGTGAAAACTAATGACTGTCACTTTGTTTTCCGTGCTGTGATTCGATTTAAATGTTGCATGCAAAAGTAATTTCCCAATGAAAAACATTTAATTCAGGTACTGAAGACAAATGGCTAAATAAGGCACCAATACTGTATGTGTTTTTCATTTAATTATAACACAGTAAATGCATACATTAAAAGGAAATATGTGTAACAATGTGTGGAGTATTATACTTTATCACTTGATTTATTTTAAGGAATTTAGCAAAGATCTGCAGATTTGCAGTTCTACGTCTCTTCCTAAGCTAAGTAAAAACATTAAATGTGAGCAGTGATTTTAATCCCTTAATACTGACAAAATGTTGCAAATGGTAAGAGAACATAAAGAAAAACCAGAGACAGAGAGAGAGAGAAATTGTGGAAGTGCAGTAGTTTCTGGGGGCAACTTCACCTCATTCCTAGTCACTGACTCGCTCTGAGATACCAGGGTTCATACCCTGAAAAAGTGCACTTGCCTATAAAGAGCACTGGTGCCCTTTCTCTCCCACCACATCCATGAATAAATCACATCATGCTGTATTATGAAACACATGTGAGGCTGAAAGCCACTGAGCCTTACCATCACCCGGGATGATCCTGAGTGAGACGGTGTTCCCAGCCTCCTTGATCAGGTTGACTATGTCTGAGTGCGACTTGTTCGTGATGGAGCAGCCGTTGACAGCCAGTATTCGGTCCCCTACTTTCAGCTTCCCGCAGCGGTCCGCTGGGCTGCCCTCGATGATGCGCCCTATTTTGTGGGGCATGGCCACACAAGCATTTCCAGCTTTTGTGTTAACATACATGTTTGTTTGTGTGTACATGTGTTAGAAATAATGTGGTGATTAATTAAAAAGATCATTTGTTTGATTGTGATGTTGATTTATAATTTAGAAAAAAAGGAAAAGACAAAGAAAGAAAGGAGAAGGATGGTTAATTATTGAAATCATCACACCCCAGTTCACCCATAGAAAGCCAAGACATTTTGTGCATATCATAGTTCAACGTGTTGCACTGAGTAAATATACAAAATACTACATGCCCTGGAAAGGAGAGAGGCACAGTATAATGCCAAAAAACAAGATTCATGGGCTCTCTGGGAAAATACAGATGCTGCCCCCCTCCCTACAGGGATCACTGAACACTCAGTTGTTTCTGCAGTGTAAGATGTTCAGTAATTGAGCTGTGGGGTCTTGGCCAGTTGAGAAAATGACCAGAATTTATAAAGAGGAGCTTTCTGAGGAGGGACGTGCAGCCTATGACCAATATATGCAGATGTGTGGTCAATGCACCACTAGAAATATAGTCTGCAGTTGACAGTGTTCACTACCGAACATCTTGTCTACACAGAAGCTCTGAACAGACCCTGGAGATCTCCTCACCCTCCCTCCATCTCACTTTTCTCACTGCTCCTCCCTACACTTCCCCTTCCATCTGCAGCATCCATATTTATTACATCGCCTTACTTTGCAGTTACCCTTCCTTGGTCTTGATTGAAAAATGCACCTGCTAAGCACAACACCAACCTCAGGTCACAGTAGGAGGGGATGAGAGGGGGTTGGGCCCTGGAGCAAAATGGTTTATATCTTCAAGGTGTGTAGGAGGTTGACTCAGCTGAAAACATTTTTTTAACCCAGGACTAAAAACCATCTAACACTCCTCGAGCCATGCATTCCTTTTTTAGTAAACACTGTGCTCTGTCAGATTTCAGCTCATGTCCCACATGGTTGGAATCCATTAGAGTGAGGGATGCTGCAGCACAATCCTAGATCAGCACATGAAAGCACAAAGCCCATTCATCTCATTCTCCCAAGAGGAACAGTGATGGAGCAGAGCAAGGGAGCACAGTGAGGCACCAGCAAAAACGGGAACCTCAAAAGACTAGGAGACATTTACACAAGGTTGTTGACTAGCACCGTCATTGGTGTCATTATAAATAATACATAATTATTGCAATGAATTTTGTAGAGCAACACCATTAACCCATGGGGTCAATGAAACTTTCCCTGGGTGGTCAGTGTTGGTCATGGCTCATCCATTTTTGTCTTTTGCCTGTGACACAAAACAGTACATCATCATAATGGCTAACTACACAAGGAGCCTTGGCATGACATTGGTGATGGAAACTCATCACTTGGAGGCCAGTACCAAATGTGCTTGAGGAGGACATCTACAATTCCTGATCAGTGCCTGCACAACTTTAATGCAATTGTACTGTTCTGCCAAAATGTGTTAATGGTACAGACAGCTATGGACAGTGCTGAATAAGCTTCACTTATATGCTGAATGAATTGGCGAGGGTGGCTGTGAGGCATGCATCTGTAATGATGTTGGTTTTGATAAAGCTGTGTATCTGCAGGCATTGAAAAGGCTTAGAGAGTACTGAATTTAGGCATTATAAGATATTAAAAGGAATTTAATTTACAAATATCTTAAATACTTTCTTTTGCCTGCCATAGGCAGCTGCCATAGGCAGTAATTGGGGGTTATAAAATGTTTCTGAATCTGCCATAGGCAGTAATGGGGGTTATAAAATGTTTCTGAATCTGTCATATACCTATAGAATGCAATTGTTTCAACAGCCTATTCTTAATAAAATGCATGATTAGAACTTTTTTGTTTTACTATGTTTACTGCTGGGAAGTGCTAAAATAGTGAAATAATGATAAATTCATGGCTGTCAGTATGGGTTTTCCATATTTTCATATACTGGACAGTGAAACAGATTAAAATGCATTCCCTGTGGTATTAAAAAGGTCTTAAAATGTCTTAACTTTTGTTCCTGCTGCTCACAGTCAAAGAACAAATTAATCACAGCAAAATAATGATCATGAGAAAAAGCCTTACCACGAAAATGGATGAGTATATATTGCAAATGCAAAGAGTTGAGTCAGAATAAATTGAACCATATTAATCCTGTTAAGTCAAACAGACTCAGACCATAGAAAACAAAATCAATTCTCATGCCACGCCATCAATCTCATGCCATTCCAGCTCAGTCTGCCTCACTTACCAAAGGTGGTGCCAGCATCAGGCCTGGAAACAGACGACACGATGACAAAACCAAAGCCCTCATTCTCGCCACGCTGGATTTCCACATCATATGGCTGCAGAGAGGCAGGCATCTCCGCACTCCCACTGCCCCCTCCACCACCACTGCCTATGCCACTGGTAGATCCGCTGCCAGAGCTGACAGTGTTGAGTGAGTTCTGGCTCCCCTGGGGCGTCCGCTTCCCCTCCGTCAGGCTGGGTGCCTGGGTGCTGCTGTGGTGGGACGAGGCCGGTGACGGAGGAACATCACCTTCTCCTTTCGACACTGGGGATGACGAGGAAGAGAACAGTTTGCTTAGTTTACTTTTTCCTTCAGTGAGGTGGAAGATAGCCCGCCTAAGTGCACAGAAGAGCATAATGTTTATATAACATGCATGCAACCTTGAATGACACATATACGAGCACACATGCAGGAGATTTATACAAAACTCTCATCACCTCCATATCCAGGGGTTTTGCGTCTAACAGTGAGGTTGACGTGGCCCTGTTTGGCGGCCTGCTGCATCAACTGCACCACCAGTTGATGAGACTTGCCCACCACTGCTGTGCCATCTACACAGATGAGCTCATCGCCGGATCGCAGGCGCCCATCCTCATCTGCAGCCCCGTACTTCACTATGTGCCCTATGTAGATCTGGAAAAGGCGAGCACATGCAATGCTGTTACGTTTTTGTGTCATTTACATCAGTGATGTGAATAAAGGAGCTTTATAATTATGGCACTATGACTAATTAGGAGTCAACAAACCGCAGTAAATTTAGTCACTAGCTAAGAGAGAGTGCAGTGACTACTTCTGGTTTTAAAATTGTCTGTTAAGCACAGCAGTGTTTCATAGTTTGCTGTTGCATTACTTCATGGTGTATGTGCGGCTGACGTTTGAAGAAACCAACAAGGCCAGTGCAGCCTACTGGGCCCCTGGAGAAGCTTGTATGCTTTAGGCATTGTGTGGGAGCACACATACAGCTCTAAGAGAAACACGCACACAGATACTGTGCCATATTTGGCACAGACAACAAGTAGTAACTCCTGTGGTGTAGACCTGAAGCCTGCTGCCATTTTATTTCCCTCTATCCCTCAATATCTTCCTTCCACTTTCCCTCTTGCTTGCTTCTTTCAAGACAAATATATGGCACACAACCAGAAGGATTGGTGTGTAAGGCCTTTGCTTCTCTTAACAAGCTGTCTATACGACCCTCCAGGGTGTAACAGCTCCAGTTAGAGAGAGAGTGATGTTTTAAGACCTTCTGCTACTCCAGTTTAAAGACAAAATAAACAGAAAGCAGGAGGTAAGGAGAAGACAGAAGAAACATAAAAATGAGGCAGACTAAGAAAAGAACAGAGAATTCAGGGATACAGTCACTAGTATGGATGGTGTATATGTGCATTTGTATCTTTTAATTTACCAGTTACTGCAATAATCAACTGATGGGATTCAACGGTGGAGGAATACTTACAGGCTCCCCGGGTTCATTTCCACCTAGAATACGAAAGCCAAAGCCTGTATCCTTCCGCCAAAGGAAAATGTCCTGCTCCTGACAATCTGGCACTGAAATACACAAGAAAAACAGTATGGCGATCAGCCACCAAACATGCCAGACTGATTAGCATCTGTGTAGGATAATCTCTGAATGCCTGATAATCAACAAGTTATGTCTCCTGTTTTGTCCAGTTATCACTTATCCATGTCCAGTTATCTAATTGCTAATCAATAAGGTGTTTATTTTTTGGTTAAATCCGAGTGAGAGCAGGCAGGATAAACAGCTGCTTCCCACGCCTCAGCCCTGCCTCACTGAGCAGACTAGTTGATTGTTCTCACGTGCAGACCACAAACTAGGCTCCAAAGTCTTATGCTGTGAGATCATCACACTGGCAGACCTGCAATCTCACAGTTACACACTGCTGATCCCTATTATTATCCCTCATTTCTAACTAGACCTTTCTTGCACATATTCATTTGTAGCATCTTTCTCCTGTATAGCTCTCCTGCTTGTCTTCAAGCACACAGCTCCCCACACATTTGCATCTCACCATGGAGAGAGCAGACTGTTCAACCCACAGGGCCAGTCCGCACAGGAGGCACAGGCCGTTTCTTTCTGCACTGCCTGCTGTCTACACGGCTGCCATGCAAGGCTAGTAGTGAACCCATTAGCTTCAACTCAGTTTGAATTAAACTGGTGCAGCAGACTTGCAATTAACCCTTCCTTGACCCATGCCTGGAAAGGAGTGATCAAAGTAAACTAACAGTAAGAAGAACAGCTGTGTGCCACTTCAAGCACCAGGTGACATGAGGCACGGAGAGAAGCTAAATTCCCAAAAGTTCATGGTTCTGCCACTCAAATAATGCTGTTCCCCAGGTGGATGCACCTCTTCACAGCTTGTATGTTTGAATATTTGTGAAAATACAGACAGAATGTGGGCCTCGCTGTCATTCTTTGTCTCCTCTCTTTCTTGTATCATTGTGTCTCCCTTGACGACTGAAAAAGGGGCTCCAGCTCCTTTAGGGGTTATCAAACAGATATACCAATCAGCCGAAGCTTAAAGCAGCCCTCTCCAGGCCCAGTTAATATTTAATCAGCAGCAGTCCTAGATTCTACAGGCAGCCATGATTATTAACCAACACTGCAAGACGCAGCATGTGCACAACCCTCGTGTCTGGCTGGCGACAATCACAACTGTGTGACAAAGGAACACAGCAGACCTGCCATAGACATCACCCCGCTACAGTCACAATGCACAATGCAGTTCACAGATGTGTATTTCACAGCATGTACAGACTTATTCTCTTAAATATATATCATCACCAGTATGAGTGCTGCAGGTTTGAAAGAAGGACAGGTGAGTGAAGGTGATATTTTAGATGATCCTTCCTCATCACAGTCTTCAATTGGGAACAGAAAATAAGTGGTTTGACACTACAGTGGCCCCCTGTGAATAATGCAAGAATAGGCCATGACTGTAAATCACTTTATGGAGTCTTACAGAGAGGCTGCCTACTTTCTGGTGTTTTTCCAGTGACTGTACAGGGCAGCAAGCTGTTTGGCTGCTGATAATGTAAATGTGGTCAGTTTTAAACTTCAAGCAGAGTGGTCAAAAGGTGCCATGCGCCTTGTTCTTCCACTGGATAATGTACAGTAAATTTATGTACTTCCAGTTTTTTTTCAGTTCTTTTCAAGAACAGTTTTATGTACAACTGACAAGTGCACACACACATACCACTACACCACTCACACTGTTTTCAGGTATTCACACTTACAAAAGGCTAAAGGGTTTAAAATATCCCAGGAGGACTAGCTTTAAAGTCACCAAAACTTTCAAATCCCTAAAATTAAAAACTGGACTCTACTCACATCGGCTCTCGTACATGCTCCTGGACTGTGCCCAGATCTTAAAGGGGTCTGGCTTCTTCTGGAGGGTGAAGGTGCCATCTGCAGGGTCTTGAGGCGGCAGGACTGGTAGAGGCTGAGTGGGGGCAGCAGGAGTGGGAGCCACAGCCTCACTGGGCATGGCAGAGGATGGGTGGCTGGGAGAATCTGTGTGGGTGCTGCGATGGCTGCACACGCTGTGCTGGGAGCTGCTCTGGCTGTCTTTCCTCTCTAACTGGTGCTGGGTGGACAGAAAACAGAGAGAGATGTATGCGTGAATGGGGGTGGATATAAGCAGAAGATGGAGGTAGAGGGCACAGAGAGGAAAAAAGTGAGAATGATAAGTGAGTCAGTCATAAGGGCATGATGGAGGGAAAAGAGATGAGTGAGAAGAGTGTCGATGGAGGACACAGAAAGAAAAAGCGTCCAAGGTTATCTCTTTTAGACATTGCAGCAGAACATCTCTCACTGAAAACATCTGCTGGAGTGTGAGGAGAAATGACTTGGTTTCCATGGCTGCCGGACAAAGACGCTGTGAAATAGGAGGGAATTTTAATGAACAAAGATATTACCTTTATGAATCTCATGATTCTGTTTGTGGCAGAAGGTCGTACAGTATGCATGGAAACAGAATCCAGATTGGTCTCAACAGAAAAGGGTTGTGTGAAATGAGGTTTGAAAGTGGATTGTGAAATCTCACAGAAATCTCTCAGAGAAAAAAACTGGTGGGCACTGAGCTATTGTAAATATTCTGTTACTATCACATTACCTGCAGATGCATATTACAAAACACTTCATGAAAAGTAAGCCTTAGTCAATAAATGCAATTACAGATAGTGAAATTGCATCAATATGACAAGTAAATCATTTTTTAAATCTGATATTTATAATACACCAGTGCATAAAGTCATGGCACCATCTCCTAATCTGTCACTCATCACACTGTACAAGATGAAGGGTCAAATATTCCAGCAATGCTCCATAATGAGGACAACAGCCGTGCAAAATTTACTTCTCATATGATCACCGGGGACTTGCTTAATGAGTTGAGACAGCACAGTCTCTCTGGCAGATGAGAGTTTACTGTGAACATCTATTTCAATTCATGAACTGGAGGCAGAATGGTTGTTCTGGGTTGACACGAAGTCACATGCAGCGTGACATTTCACTGACACAACACAGAGGGAGAGGGGGCTGGCCTTTCCTCAGTGAAAAGCTAATCCAAAGTGACAGTAAGGCAAGGCCACTACTGGTCCCACTCGAACCCCTTACAACACCCACCCTTCCTCCATCCGCTGTCATGTGTCCTAATTAGGTAACACCTCTGACTGATACCATTTTAAAATAATCCTAATCCTAATATCCAGGCAGCTCAGGGTAGGGCTTTTAATGTCAGTCAAGATCCACACTTTCTTTCACTCAAGTGGTGAGAATTGAACCCATCACTGGCTGTGGATAAGTCTGTCCGGAGGATATGTCCTTCTACTATCCCTTGCAGGCTCTCTGAGGGTGAATTAGGGTGCCAGTAATTTAAAGCTGCATTAGCATCTCTTCTGAGTCTATTGATTTTTTTTTTCTGGTTAAGATGAGTCGTCAAAACCTGATGGCATTTGCTCTTATAAACTCCAGAATAACTGCAGTGTCCACTGAGACCCTCAGGCTGCTCACAGAACTAGTCGTTCTGCATGTCTTTCTCCTCTTTCCCCATCCTCTTGATCCACCACAACTGCAAATCACAGTGAATTCTGTAGCACTCTCTCCTCCAGCTTCCCCAGTTTTTCTCTGCTTTGGATTGAACCCTTTGGGTCGTCATTGCCCCCTTTTCTCTGTCTGTTAGCTTCTGTGTCTGTGGGCTGTCACAGTGATTCACTGCTGTGGGACAAATCATCTCCACACTGGTCTTCTCCTCCCTCATTCACATCCCTTTGTTTTATCTTTGCTTGTCTGTCTCTCCAATCATCCCTCAGCTATAGCTGTTTGCCCTCACCAACAGCTGGTCACTGTTACACTGTTCTGCCTAGGC